ACTACTCGCTTGTCAGTTCAGGGCCAGCAGAAGATGGCATGTTGTTATGAAACTAATCTTCACTTTTTCATAATATTATTTTTCCCTTTGCCTCTGTCTTAGGCGATTTTCCCCACACAGATAAGAGAAGACACACTTTTCCCCTTAGAGGTGAACAAGAGCAGCTTCCACTTATATTAATTTTTTAAATTTATATTAGTTTTTTAAATCAAAGCCGAACAGCCAGCCTTCTGTGTTTTAAAGATGTGCTTTGTGCAAAAGTCACAGAAGGTGGGAGGGGACAGAGAAGGCCTCATTTATATGTACTTCAGTGTTTAGTTAAAACACTTCATTCAGATTCCTGCCTACATGCAGTATAATTATTTCTAGGGATGTATTAGTCAAGTATAAATTATAACTCATCTTCTTTTAAAGTGCTGTCAGTCAAATCCTTCTTATTTTCCTAATCAAGGATACTTTAAAATGTGGACAAGGGAGATCACTGGCAGAGAGAATTGGCATTATAACATAAAATGATGGCTCTGTCATGGTGCAGCGTATAAATTATATACACTTCTCCTTTCCACAATGCTGGAGTTATGGGTGCTAGACTCCCTGTGTAGTTGTAAATCTGTGTATAACTTTTATGTCCCCCAAACCACAAGTACAAAGCATGAACAGTTGATTAACATGGGAAAAGAGGGGGGGGTTCTTTTCCATAAAATTGGCAATCCTTTCCATATAGTACCATGTGTAATGAGCCTTGAATATCCATACCTCCTCCTGTTCTAGAAGATGAATTAAAGAGGCTGTGTATGGACTATGTAAGACACTTTCGTGTTGAACTTATGGGGTTCTGAGGGGCCAGTGACACAGCATTTATTGAAAATTTTGTTTGTTTATTGGGAAAACATCTGTGTATAACCAAAACCATGTTGTTCAGACCTGTGCAGTTCAAAGGAGAAGGGTACATGGTTCCAACTTTGAAAAATAAAGCTGAGAATGGTTGTTGTTGGTTTTTCGGGGGGTTTTTTTAGCCATGTTCTGAAGGTTGTTCTTCCTGATGTTTCGCCAGTCTCTGTGGCCGGCATCTTCAGAGGACTGGAGTAGGAACTCTGTCCATGCTCTGTTGCTGTTTGTTGGATAGTTGAGTATTTATAGCTGTGGGAACAGCTTTTGTCTTTTTTCAGGAGATAGGATGATCAGCCTGTTTTTTGTTGTGATAAGGAGGGGGAGATTATCTATTACTGTGATTGATGGGTATCAGTAGCTGGTCTTTTTGTGTGTGCAATGATCCCTGGCCCTTGTGGCTGGGTAGAGTTCATTGACATTTTACAGGCTGTATTTTTCAATATCGGGAGCCAGGCCGAGTTTAGTTTTAGGCCTTCTTCCTTTTTGTTTAAATTCTATTGATGTTTATGGATTCCAGTAGCTTCCCTGTGCAGTTTAACATAGTGGTTGCTGCTCCATAGTGGTATGGAGAATGTTATTCTCCATACGGTCGCTCCAAACAGACCTGATAAGTACAACACCTAGTTGCTCCCTGTGTCCAAAGAAAGTCACTTTGAAGAAGAATTGACATAACAATATCCTGATATTTTTGTTACAGTTAACAAACGGCTGTTGTAGCATCCATAACTGAGCAGTTATGCTCAGTTATGCTCAGGGCAGGCAGCTGGGATAATATTACCAGCGGCAGCAAATTTTGGATATTACAGACTCTCCCCCTGCCCATCTCAGAACCCATAAGAGCTTCCCCTGATAAAAGAGAACGGGGTGAGGTGGGAAGGGAATCAGAACGTTAATGGAGACTTGTGGCACAACAGTTAAGCCACAGTACTGCAGCGAAGACTTTGCTTATGACCTGAATTTAATCCTGTTCTTAGATAGCTGGCTTGAGGCAGGAAAAATTGGATGTCCTCTATGAGGGTGCCAAAAGATTGCTTATTTGCTTTTTGGGTGTTCCACGAAGTGCTTGCAGGCTTTTCTTCCTCATATACGGAAATAACTTGTCTGGCATTGGCTTCTGAGTACTTTTGTTACCTGCCTTAGGCAGCAACATCTCTTGGTCTGTTCCTGGAGAGAAGAGCCTCAAAACAGGGTCTTCCTAATTTGATATGTGTTGTTGTTGTTGTTTGTTGTTGTTGTTGTTGTTGTTGTTGTTGTTTTACTACTATGCTAGAGATTCAAGGGACAATACCATTTTAACATCAGATTCTCATACCTTATGAAACGGAAGGGAGAATCTACTGTAGAACAGAAAATGCAGTCTTAAGTTGGTGCTGCTCCTTAAGATGATTGTCACTAAGTGCTAACTTTCTAGAAGTCAGATGAATATTAATTACCATCAGAGTTTCTTAAACACAGCAGGGTGGAAAAAACAAAGCTTCAGAAGTGCACCACTAGGTTTAAAATATGACTACACGAAGCTGCTGGCTTGTTTAACACTTACTAAAAAGGCACAGTTTTGTTAACTGATTCAATTTAGCAACTGCGGTGAATGCAGCTGTTACAGTACTAATAGGTGAATGAATATGTACTTCACAGAAGACAGGCTTGTATTGCAGAGCTATCTAGTCTAGTTTTAAAACATTAACCCCACTGTTTGAAGGGAAAGCAGAGGGCAAAGTTGCCTGCCGATGGTTAAGCATCTGGACAGCATACTCAGCGGGTAGACCAGTCACAGTTTTTCCCATTATATTAAGGAGTGTGATACTCTACAGAAAGTGAATGCATTCTTTCTCAGTGTAAGTTTCTAGTGTCAGTTAATATGTACAAGTTTAATGGCAATTATTGATCTCTTTTGTCCTCGTTCCTTGGTGATTCATTTCTTCATGTTTGACCATGTGAAAATGGCCACCCTAAACAAATGCTGGAATGTGTTTGTTTTTTCCCCAAAGTAAATGAATAAATAAAATAATCAAAGGCCTATTTTTGTCCAACATCCTGTTTCCACTGGTCACCAGCCATCGGAAGGACTTGGAGGCAACAGATTTTCACACTGTCTTTTCCCAGCTGGCTGGTTAATAACAGGATCCTGCCTCTTGAAGGGAGAGTCTGAATACTCACCTCCAAACTCTCTTAATTCTCAAGTGATGGTTAAAGAGGAACTAGGTAACTCCAACAAAAGCACATAAAGAATAAATATGCCTTGGCTAGATTCTCTCTGTATTTAACGACTTTGTCTTCTGTCTGGGTGGGTGCCCCTCGGAGCTTTAGACAAACGGGATGCTTTCCTCATCAAATGCTTTGCTGCATAAGCTTGGCTGATAGCCTTGGGCAGTCGGCACCCACCACCTCTTTTCCTTGCCCCATTGACTTGGTGAAGTGGAGCAGAGAATTGTCCCTTCTTCATGCATGATGGATCAGGGAGGCAGTCTGCTCCTCTACCGGCTGTCAATAATCTCCAGAGTGTGCAAGGAGTCCATGATGTCTTCTTGCTCTAAAGCTATCATAATATGCCCCATTTCAGATGGAGTATATGCCAGGCATCCCTGTTAAACTGGAAAATGAGGAACGTGCAGGTATTGGACTGGCAGGGAATGGGGAGTGAGTGGTGTTTTCCTGAAAACAATAAAAGTGCAGTTTTCTTCATAAGTTTTTGTTTTTGTGAAGACATTACATTTTCATGGCAAAAAGCACAGCCCTTCTATCCATCCATTTGTTATCTAGCATATTTATATTTAGGATAATCACTGGTGAAAATGTTTATATCTCTTATCTGTTCCAAACAGCAGCTTCGAGTTCATTGACGTACACATGAAATTTAGCAGTGAAAGCGTCACCATGAATGCTGAATCCCTAGAATGAGAAACATGTGGGAACCCCCAGATGTTGTTGGACTGCAGCTCTCATCATTCCATCGGCTATGCTGGTGAAGACTGATGGGAAGCGCAGTCCAACCGGTACAGCACCATCAAATGTTGCGCATTACAATAGTCATGTGTTTAAATAGCTTGCCCAAGATTAGTCAGGACTCTTTTTAGCAAAGGAAGAAGAAGCAGACAAATAATTGTTAGAGTCTTGGTTCTGTCCAGAGATGGGGACTCCAGTCCCATGACTTGCTGTCAAGTCAGACTTAAGATGCCCTGGCGACTCAACCTGTTTTGTTTTGTTTTCTTCCAATGATTCAAACTTGACTTGTGACTCAGGCCCATTTTTCCAGTTTCAAGTCCCTATTCTTTTAATGAAGGACACGGTAACCCTGGAAGAAGCTTTGTGATGCTCACCAGAAAACAGGAGAGGCAGGCAAAGAACAGAAGAGGAGGTAGCAGTGGGGAAAGTTTTCAAGAGGATGGAGGAGTGAGGGAAGGTGAGGCAGGCTCGGGGGGTTGTTATTATTATTATTGGTCAAATTTGTGGTGACAATCAGATGGTCAGAGGAAGGGCAGATGGGACCAAAGGTGGGTGGTTCACAGGCCTCAGACCAACCCACATGCAGCCCACAGAGAATCCACCCGTCCCTCTTGCCAAGATCTCTGTGCTGTCTCTGTTTCTATGGTATGGCAGAAGGCTGAGGTGAGAGAATGTTAATATGTAGTCTTCTACTACTATTTTCCTGCCAAGAGTTTTCTCCACTCCCCCAGGTATTGTTAGAGGCAAAAAAAGAGCTTCAGAGGAGAGAGAATGGTTGGTGTAAGAGCTTCAAAGGAAAGAAGATCCGCTCATCCCGCCATCGCTCCTGTCTTATGCCGCATGCCTGAGCTGTGTTCTTCCCCCAACCTCTGCATATGGAAGAAAAGGTGTGCTCATTCTAAGCACCCAGTGTAAACACACCACTAGTGTACAATGTGAACTTTTTCTCCAAGGATGCAAGTGTAAATGCATTCACTACGACATGTGGCCCATAGTAGGACACAAAATCCATCAGGTGGCTTTAATTCTAGGAGCAGTTACTCAGAAGGAAGCCCCACTGATTGTAAATCCAGGTGTGTATTGCTTAGGAAGGTGCTGTAGTTGATAACAATCATAGGTTGATTTTTAGGCTTCTAAGTGCATTTTTATGTATTTTTCTTTTGCAGATACCAGAAGAGCTGCTCTGGATTGTTCTCCTGGGTTTCATCATCTACATAAAGGCTGTCATCCAGCAGAACTACGTGAGTTTCTTCTCTCTCTCTAAATTCCTTAAAAAGTAGTTCACTTTTTAAAAGCAATCAGCATGTTTCTGCACATTAAATAATATTTGTATTTACTGTATTTTTCCATGTATAAGACTATACTTTTGTCTAAAATCTTTAGATTAAAAATTGAGAGTCATACACGGAAGTAAGCTGTGGAGGGGAAAGTGGGGATCAAAGTGATCCTGCAGTGCTTTGATCCCTTTCCCCCTACACTTGCTAATCCCCACTTAGATTTCTTAATTTTAAATTAGAAAAGTGGGGGTGTCTTATACATGGGGGTGTCTTATACATGGAAAAATACAGTAAACACTATATATGATTTTGCAATATAATTGTGAGAGCATGCTAAAAGTGATATATGTGAAACATTCCTTTAACAATTTAGAAGTTGTTTGTGGTTTATGGGCCAAGAACCTACCATAAACATTGCAATTAATGCAAGAAGTTTGAGGCCTGCCATGCTTCAGATATTGCCCAGATATGGACGCTTACGTGTCCATCATGGACACCAGGCAAAAAAGTACTCATGTGAAGGTGGCAATGCCCTAATTGCAGAATAATAGCTGCATTTCCTTTTGGGGCAGGTCTCTATAGCTCAGCAGGTTGGATTGTTTGGCTGCAAAGCCAAAGGCTGGAAGTTCATATCCCCACTCTGCCTCCTGGGGCAGGGCCAGCTGAAATCACCTGGAATGTGTGGTGCTGATTCAGTCACATGCTGTGCCACCTGCATGACCTTGAACAAGCTGTACAGTCATAGAAAACCCTAGGAAGGTCAACAGAACAATGCAAATTGCAAAAACACAAATACACACCCAGATATCCAGGGGATGCACAGTTGATTTGACTGCTTCCTTCTGGCCAGTGACTGTCCACATGAACACATGCTTGTTTCCGGGCAAAGGGTGCCCAAGCTAGAACTTAGAGAATGTTTGTTTGGGGCAAAAAAGGAGAGTAACTTGTCTAAATGCTAGGCCAAACTCTGTAGAGTAAGGAACTACTACTACTACTACTACTACTACTACTACTACTACTACTACTACTACTACTACTACTACTACTACTACTACTAATAATAATAATACTACTACTACTACTACTACTACTACTACTACTACTACTACTACTATTAGATGCTTGCCACAAAGTTGGAAAGAGATGGGGCTCTGTGGAGGGGAGACGGGATGTGAGTAGGGCCCATGTTGTCCTTTATAAAAATCCAGTGGAAGTGTGTTTATTCCATACTCATAGCTTGGCTGATCCTTTATTCTTGGGAACCAGGAAATTATTTGTTTTCCCCTCCTGTTAGAAGAAGAGAATGCTCACCAGCACAGGGACCTTTCCACATTATATTTAAACTCTATTTGTGTTGCAGAGTTTGAATTTCTGGTGAAACTCCCCTAGCTGCACAGCAGAAGTGCGGGGATTCACAAAGCAGAATACTGTAGCTTCAAATTCCCCAGATTAGTCCACTCTTTTTCCTTTTCAGCTGGCACTTATGGTCTCAACAACTAGGATATTAGTAGGAGAAAGAATAAAAGATTTAATTTACTTACAATTGTGAACAGATCAAACAGCAAACTGACATACAAATATGACTGATTTCAGCCACAGACTCAAAAGAGGGGGGAAAGCACTGGGTAGAGAGGTGGATCTGTCTTTGAATTCAAAGGCAGGGAAGGAACGATTGATTAGTGCTAAGTAGATTAACAGTCACCCCAACCCAGGGTGGGGTGAACCTAGCCACACTGCAGGCAGCATGCAATACTGTAAAAACTCCATCAGTTTATGGCATATAGTGTTCTCAACAATATTAGTTTATAGGGTATGGATAATTATTCCTGCCGTAAGGGGAAAAGACTATACTTGGTGAGGATCTGCTACTAGTGTGTATGATTTATAACAGCTCTGCAAATGTTTCAGATGCCCAAATGGTAACCAATATATGGTCTTCTCATTATCCTTTTGATAATTTTAAATATGTTGTGGAATTGAAGAATGTTGGAGTAGAGCAGTGGTGTCGAACTGTGGCCCTCCAGATGTTCTTGGCCTTCAACTCCCAGAAATCCTGGCCAGCAGAGGTGGTGGTGAAGGCTTCTGGGAGTTGAAGTCCAAGAACATCTGGAGGGCCACAGTTCGACACCACTGGAGTAGAGGAACCAGTACTGGGCATTTGTATGAAAGAACTACAAGTGCAGTTGTGTCTAGATTCAAATTCTTGGTTATAGCCCTAGGCTCAGAGATACTCTTGTTCCTTAGCTGTATGCCAACATTTTGCATTTGGCTCCAGTTGATGGATTTGGGGCTTCTAGTAAGAAAAGAGATTTGATCCTGGAAGTCTACAAGAGGAAGCCTGCTCATGTGTAGTAAATGGCCATATCTGTGACTACAAGAAGGCACAACACAGAGGACATAAAGCCATTGCAGGAAGAGCCTCAAAAGTATCCTGTCTCTTTGCAAATCTTCACCCTTGAGCCTTTGCTAGTTCAGACTTGCCTACATTACTAATCCAGCTGCAGGGAAACCTCCCTTATTATGCCATGTCTAATCAGTCACAAACCAGCCCGGGAGAATGCTGGCTCCTTCCATTTGCACTCCAGTTCACCTTGGCATGAAGACAGGGCAGGTGGAGGAGGGGCAGAAAAAAACCCTATCCTGTCAAATATTCATGCTTGATCTGTAGTGCTGGCAAACCAGGTGTGAAATCAATTGCAGGCGCACTAAACAAACTAAAGATGGCTTTTGAAAATTACTTTTAGAAAGCCTACCTGAGGATATATCTAGAGAAAAACAGTGTGAAAAGTGAGAGCGGGCAGAAAGTGTGTGGTATACATTTCAGGGTAGCACTGATGCTGGCCTGGGGATTATCTGTGTGATCACTTAGATGGATTTGAAATATTTTGGCACATTCACATGAAGGAGTGTGTGTGTGTGTGTGTGTGTGTGTGTTTGTTTGGGTGTGTTTCTGTTTCTGGGGCTGGGGCGTGCCTCTTTGAAATAGTCTGGAGCCTTAGAGTTCTAGATTTCAAGGTTCTCCTGCCTCCCACCCCACCCCACCCCCAAAACTGGGAAGGTTCAGTAGCATTCCTACTTCACAATGCAGCTCCATCTTTCACCTCACAACCGTGTAAGATAAATAACTGTCTGTGGAGCCAAGGAAGTGTGACTTTCCTGCAGCGAAATAACAGATCGCCTGGCTGAAAATGGGACTTGAATCTAGGTCTCTATTTACTGTAGCACATCTACAAAAACTGCAGCTGTCATCGATTTGGTAAAATTAGCCATATAGACTAGTCAAGCCTCCCACAACCTTGCACTCTTTGGACTACAAATCCTATCATCCTCAAACAGGCTGAACTAGATCTTCTCACTTTCATTGGCTTTTTGTCCTTTCATACACTACCGGTTTAGGAAAACCTTTGCCACATTCAAAGCTTTTTAACAGGTGGAGGGAAACATCTGAAAGCCTCAAGATTGAGGACCTCAGCTGATAGGGAACAAGAAATATCTGCTCCCAGTTCATATCAAACCACATTTTTGAACAATATGGAACTCTCTCCTGCTTGTCTTGCATTCTTCTGGCTCTTGTACACCCTCTTTAATTCTTACTTTTGTCTACCTTTGTCTGGCTAATCTTTGTAATTTGACCCTAGCCATATTTTGTGTGGCTCACAGAATGTTCTGAGTCCCTAGTTCCACATACTGGTAATGGATCCCATTGGTACCAACAGCACTCTGACTCCTGGTGCACTTTCTCCCTTATCCTGTCTCCACCATGAGAGCTCTTATTCCTCCAGGGGAGAAGTTCAGCAGGTTTCACATCTTCTAGGATGGCTAAGTTCTTCTTTCAAAGGAGGTTTGGGTAACTTTGTTGTTGTTGTTTAATCATTAAGTCATGTCTGACTCTTCGGGACCCCATGGACCAGAGCATGCCAGGCCCTCCTGTCTTCCACTGCCTCCTGGAGTTTGGTCAAATTCATGTTGGCCGCTTCGATGACACTGTCCAACCATCTCGTCCTCTGTCATCCCCTTCTCCTCTTGCCTGCACACTTTCCTAACATCAGGATCTTTTCCATGAGATAGCCAAAGCATTGGAGCCTCAGCTTCAGGATCTGTCCTTACAGTGAGCACTCAGGGTTGATTTCCTTCAGAATGGATAGGTTTGTTCTCCTTGCAGTCCAGGGGACTGCAGCACCACGATTCAAAAGCGTCAATTCTTCGTGGACCAGCTGTCACTTCCATACATCACTAGTGGAAAAACCATAGCTTTGACTATGGAGACCTTTGTCAGCAAGGTGATGTCTCTGCTTTTTAAGATGCTGTCTAGGTTTGTCATCACTTTCCTCCCAGGAAGCAGGCGTCTTTTAATTTCATGGCTGCTGGCACCACCTGCAGTGATCATGGAGCCCAAGAAAGTAAAATCTGCCACTACCTCCATCTCTTCCCCTTCTATTTGCCAGGAGGTGATGGGACCAGTGGCCATGATCTTAGTTGTTTTGATGTTGAGCTTCAGACCATTTTTTGCACTCTCCTCTTTCACTCTCATTAATTCCTCCTCACTTTCTGCCATCAGAGTGATATCATCTGCATATCTGAAGTTGTTGATATTTCTTCCAGCAATCTTAATTCCTGCTTGGGATTCATCCAGTCCTACCTTTTGCATGATGTATTCTGCATATAGGTTAAATAAGCAGGGAAGCAATATACAGCCTTGTCGTACTCTTTTCTTAATTATGAACCAATCAGTTGTTCCATATCTAGTTCTAACTGTTGTGTCCTATCCCACATATAGATTTCTCAGGAGAGAAACCTGAGTAACTAGTGGTCTTCTTTATATTTTTAGATTGTCGCTCCCATCATCCTTCACCATTGGCCAAAATTGCTAAGGAGTGGCAGTGTAATAACATCTAGAGAGCCATATGTTTCCCACCTTGATTTAGATCAGTGTTTCCAAGCCTGGGGACTGTGACCCCTAAGGG